CAGAAGAGTCGCCGATAAATCGCCTACAGCAAAGGGACGACAGAGCTCGCGAAAGGAATGCAGATCGAACACAGGATGCTCCTGGCCTCGCCTGTGAAGAAGAGACACAGCTCGCAACACGAAACACGGCTCGAACACAGACGTGGCGTCGGCTTCGCCCTGCGTGATCCGCCGCATCACCTTGTCATGGTCCTTGAGCTCGCGGTACCTGATGAATGAGTGGGCGCATCAGCAAACAAGCTCCACTCCTCGCCTTCTCATGGCCCCTTTCAGCTCGCGCTGCCGCGCAAAGAAGACGGACGCGTAGCGGGCCACCTCCTTCTCCGACCGGTCGCCTAGGAAGTGTCTAGGGAGCGTCTAGGAAGTGTCTAGGAAGTGCCACATCTTTCTCCGACCGATCGCCGAGCTCAAGCGAGATCGACGCGACGTCGTCGCGCCCGTGCCGCTCGCACGCCTTGACGAACGCGTTGAAGTCCTTGCGCGACCAGCTCGAGAAGCCGTCGCGCAGCAGCGCCTCGCGCTCGTCGAGCTCCGCGTCGCTCAGCGGCGGCACGCCCGCCGCGGACGCCTTGCGCGTCAGCTCGTCGTCCCCCTCCTCGTCCTCCTCGCGGGCGCGCCGCGCGAGCACCCTGTCCTGCTTCCACTGCCAGTGCGCAACCTCCTGGTCGCGGAGCGCGTGCAGCCGCCGCGCGTCAAAGAACTGAAAGTCGTGGATCTGGACCTGCTTCGGCATGCGCAGCCCCGCCCGCTGCTGGTGGGCCGTCTCATCGTAGTTTTGCTTTGTGATCCGCTTCGGCAGCGAGAGAGACCATTGCGTCGCCGCCTCGGACCCCTTGGACCAGTCCTGCCCGTCCAGCTCGTACATCGACCGCTCCTGCCCGTCGAGCGTGAAGTTGGCCAGCGAGTTTGCCTGGTCCTTGAGCTTGGACTCGTCCGCGCGCGTGCGCTCCTCGCCCCGCAGCAGCAGCGCCTCGATGTCCTCGTCGGTCGGCTCGCCGCCTCCCTTGGTGTGGAAGACCGCGTCCGCGCCGAAGCGAATCATAGAGAGCATCTCGTCCTTGGAGAGCGACTTGGACTGGTCCGCCAGCCGTCCCTGCTGGATGACGGCGGCGTCGAGGTAGAGCTTGCGCTGGGCGCGCTCGATAATCTTCTCCTCGACCGAGCCCTCGATCATGAACCGGTAGACGATGACGCCGCCTCGATCGAGTCCTGCGTGTCCTCGTCCACCACCAGAGTGTGCAGCCGCTGCAGCGTCCCGCCGGCCGCCTCGCGCGACCCGCCGGCGTGCCTTGCGAGCAGCAGTGTCCGCGCGCCGAGATGTCGCCGGGCGAGGCGGGAGGTGGTCGGGTGCCGGGCGCATCTAACGAAGATCTGGAGCGTATCCAGCCCAGGCTAGGCGGCGCGGCAGCCAAGACGGCGGCGGAGCGGAATCGGCGCGCGCCGAGAGGCGCGGCGGCAATCAGACGCGCCGGCGAGCGGTAGGGCGCCGCACCGCGCCGGAGGTATGCACGGAGGAGATGCTGGAGCGTGGACGAGGCATAGCGGCGAGAGGGGCAGAGAGACTGCATTCGCTTGTTGGTCTCAGCTGAGAGGCCGGCGCCCGCTGTGGGGAAATAAAGAAAAAATACGTTTTGCGGCCCCCAAAACTTCCTTTTCGCAAATCGATAGGGATTGGCCTGGGAGCCCCAGAACTCCGCCTTTTCATTTTTGGGCTGGTGCGAGGCGAGGCGAGGCCTGTGTGGCGGCTTCTGGGAGGGGCTAGGAGAGGGGGCGGGCTTGGCGGGAGAGGGGTCCGCGGGCGGCGCGAGCGGGCGTCCGGTGAGCGGTGTGGACGGGGCCGTGCGTGGTTTTGCGAGCTTCGGCGGTGGGGCGGCGTCGTGGCCGTCGGGAGGCGAGGAATGTAGCAGCTGCTGTGCGCACTGTCTGCAGGCCGCCTGGCAGGCGGTGTCATGGCGCCCCGTGAGGTGCGCGGGGGAAGCCAGCGGCGCCGGGCCTGCCGCGCGGGGGCGGGCGGGGGCGGGGACGGTGAGATGGGCCCGTGCGAGCTGCTTTAGCACCCGAAATAAAGTCGGTCGTCCAAAGTCGAGCAGAGGGCCTGAAGATTCGCAGCGCGCGCGGGGAGGGTTATGGTGGTCGATGGTTTTATCGGACGAGGACGATCCTTGGGGCTGCGGACGTCTCCTGCCGATGCTCCGCACGGCTGTTGGTCGCGGGTTGCGCGGGTCGCTCGTGGGGCGGCGTGGGGTCCGTCCTCGCGCGGGCTCTGAAGCGAGGCGATTTTCGGCCTCCCGCGTCGACGTTTTGAGGGCCTTCCCGAGGGCTTCAGGCGGTGCGGGTTTGATGGGCGGTAGCGCGGGGCGGCCTCCACCGTTTTGGCAAAAACAGCGTTTTCCGCGCGCGCCTCGCTCGCCCCGGGAAAGTTGCCTCGCTCCGCTCGTCAACTTTCTCCCGGGCGAGAGGGGGGTGCGCGGGTGGCGGCAATAACTCTCTCTCCCTCTCTCTCTTCCTGCGCGCGCAGCGCGCGATTTTTTCGCCGGGTGGGCCGTTTTTATCGATTTTTGAGCCCTCCGTCGAGCCGTGGACGGGGGACGTATAACCCTAGCTTAACCCTCGCTCGCGGCGTGTTACTACGTCTTTAACCCTAACTTGAGTGCGCGGCTCCGGCAACCGCTAACCCTAACCGCACACAACTTTGGCTAGACCTAACTGGCCATCCCTCCGGGGCGGAGAGCGACGCGAGTGCGAGGAGAGCCGGCTTCGTGCTTGCGGGCTCGCCGGAGGCGATCGCGTGGTGGCGAAGACTGAGGCGGCGGTGAGAGAGGTGGAGATGGCCGAGCGTGACAACGGCTGGCACCGCCGATGCGATGCTGCCGCCTCGTCATCGCTCCTTGGTGCAACGAGCGATGGAGCTGCTGCGATCTAGGGAGTGGCATCAGAGCGTCGCAACCGCGGCATCGAGGTGGCAGAGCAGAGAGCAGCGAGAGGCGGCAGACGCTATCCACTCCAAGTAGATGCGAAGAACCTAGTAGCGAAGCACGAAGCGTGAGTGGGAGCGAGAGAAAGCGAGCGCTGGTGCACTGTTGTCGAACGTGGCGAGCGAGGCAGTGCGAGAAATGGGGAAGCGATCCGAAGTCACGGAGGCGAAGGCGGCGGCGGCGAAGGCGGCGGCGAGGGCAAGAGAGCGAGTGCGAGTCGCACGCACACGGAGTGAAATGCCATGGCTACGCAGAGTGTGGTGTGGACGTGCGAAGGCGTTGCGTGGGTGCACACTGCGACGCTCCTCCGCGAGCGAGAGCAACTCGTACAGCGCCAGCCGGCGTCGTGCCAAAGCAAAGAAAAAAATTTTCTCTCCTTAACAAGTTTCCTTTATAAATTTTCATTTTTCCTTGCCTCGAAGCCTGGTCCGATTTCTCTTTCGCGCTCTCGCCGGTAAGCTGACAGCCGCCCTTCGCGCCACCAATCGGCCACGGTTGACAGCAATGCCCGGCCAGTGGCCTCTCGACGACAGCAAGGCGGTCTGGCACGCACTTTGCCACGTGCAGCTGCAGGCTGATGGCGAGCTTCCCGGTACTCAGGAGGTCAACGCCGTCGTGGCGAGGCTGGCCAAGCGATTCGGCCGAACCAACGGCGCGATCCGGTCGCGCATCCGACACATGCACGACACCTCGCACGCTGCGTACGCGGAGCTCGTTAACTGCGGCGCCCGGCAGCCAGCGTCGAACTCGGCCCCTCCTCCTCCAAGGCCCGCGGCGCCTCCGCAGACGGCTGCCGGCGATGCAAGCGGAGGCAACCTCTACTCAGCGCTCCGCTCCTTCAGGGCGAAACGGGCGCAGGCCGATGGGGTTCAGCCCTACCACGTCGTGCACGACTCCGTGCTGCAGAAGATTGCGGACCGCTGCCCGACGAGCCTCGATGAGCTCAAGCT